AAAAAATCCATCCATCAGTTGTTTCAGAAAATATATACAGTGAAAATGTTGATTCATTTTGATCTTCTTGGCTGTATCAAGGGAAAAAGGAGTTTTGAGATTTGCTTTTCTTGCACTTTTCAACTTGAAGCGGGACTTTGATACTTGAATGTAGAGGGTGAGTCATATTTAAAAAGTATTATCTGTGGAATTGATTGAGCAATGTATTGGCATGCCTAAGAGTCTGCAAGTTTTGTCAAGCTTTTGTTAGCCTCTAATGCTAACAGGATGTTGGTAAACATTCTGTTGGTGCCCAGGGTCCATTCCTGGGAGAAGTTAACCATGTTGGTAGGCTTTAGGTGTCAAGGAGTGCTTGTTACTTCCAGTGGGCAGAGCTAATCTTTTGGTAGTAAGCTTTCATTTGTATGTAAACTGAATGTAAGACCAATTGAAAATTTTTGGAATATGTCACTGTGTTGCTGAAAAAAGGTTTGGTCACTGATACTGGTATAAAAGAGCAAAGTTAGCGTGGACTCTTTTTACTGTATTTGAATGCTTTATTTGTAATGTAAAGGCAGCTTAATGGTGGGTTTTTGTAGGTTTTGCTCATAGAGGAACTCTTTACCTTCATTTCTGAAGACTACAAGAGATGCTGAAAAGGGGGCCTTTAAATGTTATTGGTTCCCTTCAGAGCTTGGAAAACATGTAGCTAAAAATGACCATCTGCTTCAGCAAGGAAATGACTTCACTTCTCCCAACTGTTGGACCCCTTGAGTTTTCCTTCTTGCCTAAATGGTGTTCTTGGACAATAGTTCTTTCTCCAGAGAGATGACACAGATAAAGATGGGTTCATGCTCAGGGGCTGTCCTTGTTTTGTGTTCTGTCCTCCTGCAGATGGGTGGTGTGTTGGTTGTTTGCCTCTCATGCTGCAGCTGTGCACGAGTAGCGTTCCCTTTGGGTTCTGCCCACTTGAAACTGCCAGGGAGAGGGGTATTTTACTGAGGACAGATTGTCCTTGTTTGAGTCCTTTCTCTTTGATCTCATGTTTCTTCTTCAAGGTGGCTGTCCCCTCTGATTGCAGCAAGGTCCTGGGCTGCTGAGTGATAGAGTAGTATTTTTTCTGACTCCTAGACATGCCAGTACACTGCTTTTCCTGTTAGATCTGGCTTTCTGAAAACTACAGTCTCTGTGGGGAGCAGTGGAAACTGGTGTTTCTGGGTCACAGGGTGAATCTTTGTTTGGCCTGCTCCCTGTCTTAGTTTTAGAAGTGTAATCTTCAATGGTCATCAAAGTTTTGTATAAATTATAGCAGGAAGATTCTGAACTTTTGAAATTTTCATTCATGACTTTTCTTAGTTTTCTATATGTAACCCTGTACTTGATTAATCACACTCATAACAACCTATTTGATCATAATTTCCCTAGCCATTAGTATTTGGTGAAGAACGTTTTTGAGTGCATTTTAAAAACCTGAGCTAGAGCAGTCACCTTTTGTCTGGTTTTGCCCCAGAAATCATATATTAAAGACCTCTGGCATCACAGTTGTATGTAACCTTTTATACATGAGTCCTTGCTGCTTCCCTTTCAGAAAAAGGGAAAAAAATAAATATGACTTCCCAAAAGTTCTTGCAGTTCTTCCTTTCAGAGTGATTTGAAGACTTGCAGTAATTAGTCTCATAGGAAATCAAAACTTTTAAACAAAATTTCAGAATTTTCAGATTAACATCATCCTCTACACTTAAAAGCACAACGAGCATGAGATCTGCTGCCACAGGGCTTTACTGGTGCTGGAAACAAGTGTTAGATTGCCTCTTGAGAAGCAGCATCTTGCCCACTCAGTTACTGAAATTTGTCCTATTAGATGTGAGATCAAATGGGAGCTTGTGCTAAATTTGCTAGCAGTGAGAGCCCAAAAGTTCTCATGTCTTCATGTTCCACTTAGCAGTTAACCTTGGGTGAATTTTTGAGAAGGATGAAGTGGAGGTGAGGAAGGAGAGCAGGAAGAGAAGCTTTCAGGGGTCCTCAGAAGGATCCATACTGCTACCCAGGCACTGACTCTGTAGCAGCGACACCTGTGTAACATCTTGCATCAGTTTGTGCTCGGGACTTTTTCCCCTTGTGCTCTTCCCCTATATATATATTGAGTAAATTCAAACAGTCTCTGTGTTCAAACACACAAATAAATAAAATAGGGGAGGCTGTTGTGATTATTTTGTGGTTTTTTTTAGTTTTCTTACCTTTTTTTTTTTTCCCGCTGGGAAGACTAATTACTGGATTTTAGAGGTACAAATGGTTCTTGCTTCTGGGTTTGACTTCATTGATACTATGATGTTTATATGGAGAAAAGCTATTTTAGGTCATATTTATGACCACAAGGAACTGGGCCTTGGCACCACACTCTAGCTGATGTTGTTTAGCTCTTCCTGTGCTCCACCCTCACTTGGCATGGAGAACAGATGGACTAAAAATGAGCATGCATCTGTTAAAATATTTTCTTATTTCTAGCTTTTCCTCAGAATAAACAACTGATTTACTAAATGTGCCCCAAAGAGGTAGGTGTAAAAGCGTTTTCATCCAACCATGATCCTGTTCTGCAGTTTTTTTCATTAAATAAACTCCGCCCTGCCAAATGCCCCAAAGATATTTAGATTTATGCATTGGATAAAAAGAGAGAGCTTGCACGAACAATGTCAAATAATGATGATTAATACAGTAAATGAGTGCCTATAAATATTATGAGAATGCTAGGGAAAGTAAAAAAAGAGATTTTGCAGTTGTTTAATATGGATATGTGGATCCAGTTCAGTGATACTGAACTTTTGATTAAAATTAGGTATTTTCAAATGGTAATAGAGAAGGCCTGAGGAACTAATGTCGCAGTTATATTTTATTGTGTATTTTTGAAAGAAGATTCTTTCACCTGGGATACTTATTTTTAATATTAGACCTAGGCTTATTTCTGAATTTTTTCTCTTAGCAAAATTTTGATTTTTTTTTCTTCCCAGTACCCATGAAAAAGTAATTTTTGAACAGATTTCATATTTTACATAAAACAGCAATATACTGTGTAGCTCTGGATTTACTGCAACAAAATCAAGGCTGAAGATTGCGTTTTTAAAGTGTGTATGTTTTATGTCTCCTTTTACAGAGTGCTAATTGGCACTGTATTTCTCTAACATAAATTTATTTGCAATGATTATTTTCAAAGCAGCAAATGTAGGTAAATCTGCATAAAATTTTTAGTGTATTTTTCATTTAATTTCATGAATATATTTATTTTGATTTCCCACTGGCTTATCTGTGTCCTTAATGAACATAAGATAACTTATTTCATACACACTTAAGGGATTTTCAACAAGCTGAAGTTTCTGTTCTATGAGATGGGGGGGGGAATTAAATTATTATCTAAGGAATGTATTATTTTGTAAATGTGACTGACTCACCAAATGTCTGCTACAAAATCTCATAGTTATTACAAGCTCAGAAGAACACTTTTAAAGTTTTTACTTCCTGTACATCCTGTATTATTTTATCTCCTGATTCTCTTGATGCTTTTTTTTCAAGACTACAAATTTGATCAGAATCTTTTAATTAGAAACTACAATGCTATATATAGTAGTAAATAGAAATTTTTTTTACATCAAAGGGTAAACATATAAATAGGATTTTCTCCTCAATTTTTTTATGAGACTTTGTTCTTTTTTGACAGAAATTTTTGTGATCTCTTCCAGCAAAGCTTATTAAAAAGTATCTAAGTGCTTTATTATGGATACTTTTCAAGGAAGAAACATGTTATGAGGAATTGCACATTGCATCACAACATGTTTTTAATTATTTTTCCTTATTTTTTGAGGAAAAATACAAGTCATCATGTTACTGTGCTGCTTTCAATACTCATCTAATTATATACAATGTGAGGAAAATGCCTAAATTTTTCCATTTAAAATTCTTGTTAGTTTGATCATTCAAGAAAGTGCATAGCTTGTAAATGTTTCGCTGGTGGTTAAGATATTTGCCTGATTTGAAATAAAAATCCTTGAAATATATTTAAGGTTACCTCTGGAGCAGTGCACTGATGTTGACCTGCAGTGATGTGCGTTGGTTGTAGTCGATGTACATTTGTATTCTTTGCAGATGCTCATTCTTTGGGGCCAGTTTCTGGAGAAAGCTGATCCCCAGCAGGGGTACTGAAGGGACATCATTATTCTGTTGTGTTTCTTTGTAGTAATAAATAGTCATATTTGGTACTGATTGTCCATCTCCTCTATTACTGCAGTGATCCCTGAGGCATGGAGCGGTGATTTAAAATAATTGGAATCCCATTGCTCTTGGTTTGGCAGGAAGGTTTGGATACCACTTTTGTTTTTGTAGAATTCAAGCTTTTAATCTTTGGATAAAATGTCTTTGTGCTTAGTGATTTGAAATAATCTTTTCCACTCCATTTACTCTTGATTCCCTTCAGACATTCACTGACATGCTTAAACTTCACAATCTTTAAGAAGTTAGCGCTGCACAGTTGCATTAGGTGCATGGGATGCTTAGTATTTTCTGTAGCTGGCCATGCAGGTCAGTGCAATTTATGCACCACTAGAAATTGCCCCTGCAGTACTGCAGCTAATTTCAGAGCTGTTATAGGTATTTTTCTTCTTCAGTTGCATGACATAAAAGTTTCAGAACTTTTTGGTTGTGTCAGAGGCATTGCATTGCGCTCTTCCATTAAGTTGTTCGATTCTCCTTTCCTGGCTCTTGTTCATGTTCTGCATTGAGTGCGTCTTCTGGTCTCCAGGAACTCCCCTTTTATGACTCAGTTGTCAGCCACTGGTGTGTCAAGCTGATGGTTGTTGCAAAAGCCTCATGTTTTCTAAGAGAGTTCTGGGTTTGAGAACTGAATGACGTAATTGATTGTCTTGCTTCAGTGGTCTAGAGAAGCCTTTGCAGGTGTTTTTCTTGTTACTTCTGTTTGACTGAGGTGGTATAGATGGAAAAGTACTTATTTCCTCTCTTTAGGTTCTTTTATTGACATGTCTATGACTGTAAACTCCTTTGCAGATGGCCATTTTACCTATTCACTGAGTGAACAGGTAGGTGTGCTTAAAGATAACGCAGGGCCAGGACTTTTTAAAATCCATTTCTTAATTTTGTGGCTCTTAACCAGACCTGTTACCCTAAAAATGCATTGTCTGGAATTTTTAAGGTTCTGTATTTTGTTATGGTGGATGAGATTTTTAGCTAAAAGGGGGAGCATGTCTTCTTCTTCATTCTCTCTTGGGTGTCCCCTCCGACTTCTTTCTATTGCATCTACCTTGTGATTTATTTAGATCAGTTTATTTGTCTGACAGAAAACAGGCCCACTCCAAGTGGTGGTTAATTTTCTGCTGCTGATCTGACTTTCTGGCTAGCCACATGAGCCGACAAGGGAGAGTTGGGGGGAACACATGTCCAGCATGGGGCAGAACTGTTCATTTTTTGGCAGCAGCCCACAGCGTGCTGTGTGAAGGTGCTTTACAAACGCGTATCAGGAAGGGATGCAACTTCTGGAAGGGGATGGGTTTTTCAGGCTATCCTGAATGTCTTGGTAGGTTTGAAATACCCTTGAGATACTTTTGATTGCACTTGAGCTTGAGCTTAATGGTAAGTTTCTGGGTTTGCATCATGTGTCTTGGGGAGTGGTTACATCTGTGTAATATTTTTCATATTAATTTATTCATACATATTTTCTCCCTTAAATCCACATTAACAATTTCTGTCAGGGAATAACTCTGGTCCAGGGTCACCTTAGATATATATTAGTTGTAGTTGTTTATCTTAGAGATGTGTTCAAGAGAGGAAATCTCCCAGACCAAATCGATATGGTGCAATATACCATAGAAGTTAAAAGCCAAACCAAATCGAAACAACAGTCATTTTTTCTCTTATGGTTTATGAAGTGGATATATTTTAATGACAAATGTTACATTTAATATATGTACATTTAGAAGTCCAAATTAGGCTTTTTATATTCCTTCTTACTCACTAATTCTCTTCTGGTACCAGCATATGGTTGTACAAGAAACTTGGTTATACTCTGTATAGAGATCTGAATGATGGCATATGTAGCTACGCTGTTAACAAGCAGGAATAATAAATAAAATGCTGTAGAATGTTCTTTGCATTTAATAAAGTAATGATGAGAATCAAAAACCTGGGCTGTCATTACTCCTTTGATCAGAAAGTAGTTGTGGCAGTGCAGGTGGATGAGTGAAGGTTAGCTGAGGTTAGCAAATGGGCTGCAGTGGAATGGGGGAATGACAGAACTGCCATTGGTCCTTTGTACCTTACTTGATTCCTGGCCTGTCACATCCTGTTTGTGAACAGCAGCCTGAAAATTCATATCTACCGAGAGAAGATGAAATTTTAAAATCATTCAAAGCAGACTCTGCTGCCTGAGAGGTAGAAAAGAAACAACAATGGTAATGTGATGATTTGTTGATGATTGTTTTTGTTGTATTTGTGGTTGCACTAACTGCTGCAGGCCAGAAGCAGCTAAGGGATGGTCCTGCATGTGGGTGCCATATGTGCTGTGGGTGTCTGTACATTCTGTGGGTGTCCATCATTGCACATGCCAGCTGGAAGTCTATTTTTTTGTGTTTGTTTATTTGCTTTTTAATTTTTTTAATGCTTTTTTTTTTGGATAGAAAGTAGGCTTTTAATATTGATGGTAATTTACCACCTATTACCTGATAAGGTAAACTACATGTAATGCATATATATTCATTTGGTCAAAAACAATACATTTGTTCAAAAAATATGATAAATTATCCAGAAATTACAACAACCACTTAGCAAAGACGTGGTGGCCTGTGTTACAAAGCAGGTTAGACATAGTGGGGATGGACAAAAGGATATTTGATACTGAGTTATATCTATTGAGGTGCCTTCTAAGGAGCTTTTCAGTTTTACTGCATCCTTCTGAAGTGTCATGTAAATGTGTAGAGTTTCTTGTCATGCAATTTTGCATGCATCTCCACAGGAGTGACACAGCCAGGCATTTTTATAGAGGGTCCTCAGCCTGAGCATCCTCTAGTAAGAGAAACTGTACTGACTTCTGGGTTTTTTTAAAAGGATTCATCTGTTTGTGGATATGTATTCATGGTTGTCTTTTTTGTTTATAAATACTCATGCTTATATATGTAGACATAACAAGAAAATTTTGCTGTAGGGCAACTATAAGATATAATAAACAAAAAGTCATGATTCCCTCAACTTTCCTTTTCATTGTTGCTGTTCCAAGCAACCTGGTATTCTCAGATCTTCTGGATTCAATGCCTATTGAAAGCCTGCCAGTAGTTTTAGAAAGAGTGAATTTGATGATTCACGTTATCCGATCCTGTCCTGTGTGTCCCAGAGTTTTCAATAAATCATTTGTTGCAATTGTACTATCCTCTATTATATTCATTTGGAGAAGTGTACTTTAAGTGTAGTCGTAAGCGGTTCTTCAGCTTTTCCTCTTAGGTCCTCTGACTACATGCTCCAAATTTTAATGTGCACATTTCAATGGAAACAAAATAGGAACAAAGTTGATACAGTTCCAAAATGTCTCCAAGTAGCTTTCCTTATTAATTAGTCCAATAACATGGCTGTTCTGTTTCTTGTGTGTTTTCAGGCCTAGAAACAAGTGTTGCATGTCTATTGGATAGCTGAGTATTTTCTTCCACTAACTACTAGAATTAAACTCTGTTTCTGGCAGTTGGGAGTCATGAAGCTCTCCCGTGCTTGCCCACTATAGGACTGAATTAAAGGAACTGGTTTGGGGAGAATATATGGTAAAGAAATGAAGGAAGCAAGCAAGATGCTTCCCTACCACCCATTTTTCTTTGGTTTTATTAGCTGCTCAAGGGCTTGGAGTTTTGGGAACCTTTTAGAGGGCTGTGAATCAGAGCTTTACAGAAAATGTAGCTAATTATATTTTAGCCCATTTCTATCCCCTCGCTGTATGAGAGCCTGTCTGAATGAACGGTTTCTTTCAGGCAGTGTTGGTGAGATTTGTGAGAGTACAATTGTCTGCCCAAGCCAGTAATGTCTCAGCTGTCCTCTCTGGTCTGTGTCCAGAGCCAGTGTAAGGAACATGTGAGCCAGGGGAGGTCTTACTTCCCTTTGCTTTGTTTTGCCCAGGGTGGAGGTTTGAAGAGCTGTTTCCTATGGTGTAGATGGGTTAAGGTGGGGGGTTACTCTGAGTCACAGATTGTATTGCTGGGAATTCTTGAATAAGTCTCATAGATTCAGAAAACTTATTTTTTTATTCATTATCCTAGACTGCTTTGTCTGTTTCAATGCAATTTTATTCGGTTAATGACATATTTTTACTTGCTGTATATATATTGTTTCTGCATTCTCAAACCAGTACAAAAGGTCTTGCCATGACTTAATAATAATTCCAGTCTTTTCCATATTGCAGTCTACCCACATTGCTCGAGCCAGCTTCCAGGTTGATGCTTTTGGATCATCTTTCATCTTAGATGTGACACTAAACCAGTAAGTAATGACTGTATCTTACACTACATTTGTCCAAGACCTGGTGCCTGTGAAATGGAATTTTCCAGTGGAGTTTTTAGAGGCTGTATTATAGCAAAAATACTATTTTAGGTGTTGAGTTAATTTGTAGTGGTATGTTTTAGGTTCTTCTGTTACTTTCTTAAGTAGCACTGTAGGCTCTGGTATTCCCATTGTTACTATTTGGCAGCTATTCCAGTATAACTAAAATTTTGGTAGTATAATTTCACTTTGCAGACTCACAGAACGGCTCAGGTTGGAAGGGACCAGAGGGGGTCATCTGGTCCAACCTCCCTGCTCTAGCAAGGCTATTCTAGAGCATGTGGCACAGGAATATCTCCAGTGAGGGAGACTCCACGCCTCTCTGGACCACCTGTCCCAGTGCTTGGTCACCTGCACAGTTAAGAAGTTCTTCCTCATATTCGTGTGAAACTTCCTGTGCATTGGTTTCTGCCCTTTGCCTCTTGTCCTATTGCTTGGCAGCACCAAGAAGAACGTGGTCCATCCTTTGGGCACCCTTCCTTCTAATATTGACAGACACTGGTGAGGTCCCCTCTCAGCTGCCTCTTCTCAAGGCTGAACTGGCCCAGCTCCCCCAGGCTTTCCTCCTGAGAAAGATGTTTCTGTCCCTTAATCATCTTTGTTTCCTTCTGCTGGACTTGCTTCAGGAGATCCGTGTCTCCCTTGTTCTCGGGAGCCCAGAACTGTTCACAGCACTGCAGGTATGGCCTTGCTTCTGCCAGTTTACCATAAAGGCAAATGACAAACTTCACACACAGCCTCCTTGGGTATTAAAAGGTGGATTTACCAAAAACTGGTATCTCTGTGCATTTTAATAATCAAGCATTAAGTACTGAAGATACATTAATTGCACAAGAGCTAATCCTCAAAAAACAACGAGTACTGTGGAATGAAGTTTCTCCAGATGTGTTTATAGCTTTTTGGAACAGAGAAGCATTATAAGGCAGTAGCACTGTGAACTTCAGAGCAGAAGGAAAGATCGAATAATAGAAACTTAGTGAAATCTGGTGTGTGGCTTTCCCTAATGAGTTTTTGAAGTAGTCTTTTAGCACTGCTGTTTTAACAGAGGAGTTGCTTTGCTTTTCTGTCCTGAAGTGAAAAGAGAATAAATAATAGAGTAAATAGAAGTGTTTTGTTAAGTAATTCAGCTCCTAATAATTGAACACAATGTTTTGTGGTTTCGTTTAAGAGTTTGCATGCAATTGATGCAAGTTTTTCTGCTGTAAAGATGAACTGTTCAGGTTGCAATGACACCCACTCAAATTTCAGGTTTGTTTTTTCAATTGTAAATATACTTGAAACAGTGGCAATTTCTTTACATGCATTGACATTAGTTGAAGAGCAAGTGTGAATGCTGGTTACAGACAGTGGAGACACTGTGCTGCTGGAAGGAGAAGGGAAGAGGCTGGTCTAGAAGTAAGATTCTTAAACAACTGTATTTTAAAACAGTTATAGAGGAAGAATTTCCTGCTGAAAAGCACCAAATCCTCAACACTGAAATGTTTGTTTGAAGTAGTAGTTTTGTATACATATTTATACCTTACTGAGGGTAGGCTGCACAAACTTGCTTTAATTTGGCAGGTTAATGGTGTGGTCACAGTTTCTAAAAGATCAGTATTGCCCTTACAGTATAAATTTCAGATCATCTTAAAAAAAAGTAAACACATTAATAATGGTCTATGAAAACAGAAGTTAAGGCTTTGATTTTATGAGCTGCAGCTTTGTATGTATCAGAAACGTGTAGGTAGAATTTTTTGTTTATGCACATATGCACATAGACACACAAACATATGTTTAACATTTTATTTGTTTTGAGCTGAGTGCCATTTTTATGTCATTCCTTTATTGTCTTGGATGATATTGCACAAGTATGTGTATGTAAGTCTGCCAAAATGCTTTCTTATTGTACTAAAGGTGCTGAAATCCAACTTAATATTAACTTTTCTTGAAGAGCTACACTTCTTTTAATATGAAAGAAGTTCTGTCACAAATTGTCACAAAAAGAAGGCTGCAAGGAAATCAAGATGTTTGGCTTCTATCATAATATTTAATCAACTTTGAAACTACCTCTAAAATATCATGTGAAGATCATCAAATAAAAAGAGGGCCAGGAATACCAGAGTAATATTTAAAATGTATTTTTTATTATAATTCCAGTGAAAAAATCTTTCATTCAGAAGGTTGTAAATATTTTTTTTTCTTTTGCAGTTCTTACTCTCCATATTATATTTTGTGTGTATATTTAGACCATAGTAGCTCTATAGTTGAAAAGTATTTAAATTCTTGTAAGCAGCAAGGTTCAAGATTTTAGTTATCCTCTGGAAAAAAAATCAGTTTAGTATTCATAACCGAACCTCTGCTAATATCTAAAGCATGCTGAAACCCTGAATTGAATTTTACCCTGTGGTAAACTTAGATCTTAAGTGTAATACACATTTGAGAAATGTTAAAGGAGGTATGGGGGACACAGGGGGAGAAATAATTTAAAATAGATAGGTTATAAGAAAGGAGGGACAGTCCTTGTCTATGTCAGTCTCCTTTCTTGCAGTCCTCATGTTGTTTAAAGCTTAGTGTACCTGAATATATCTGGGCATCATCTGTCGTTACAATATCAGTGGAGGTCAGTCGTAGTGAATGTATTCATTCTCCCATATGGTTCCCCAATTTATGGAGGAAAAAAAGTTCAAAATTAAAATGAGAGTAACATGAGTAAAATGAGAGTAAAAAACAAACAAAAAAATCAAATTAAAATATGCTCCTGACTCCAGATGTTTGTCTGCAAGTATTTTTTCTTTTAGTGCTTTCCATGTGGGCATTATTTTTTCTATTCTTTTAAAATCCTTGTTTTTATCTGTCAGATTCTCTGTTCCCTCTGCTGCATTTGCCTGTGCTGTTTTATACATACTCTTGTTGTGTACCCTATTTTATTTTAGATTTTGTTGTGCTAGTGTATTTTCCATCTGTGTTTTTACTCAGTTCTCTAGAGTCACACATTCCTTTGTCATCTTTTCCATCAGGAATAGTTGTCCACTCAGCCACCACCATAGGTACTGCACAAATTTCTTATTTTTCTTTAACCATTTCCTTGTCAGCTTTCTGGACAATCACAGTCGAGGCTGGTAGAAATGTTCAAGGTGTCCTACTTTTCTCTCTTCCCCCATTGCCTGATACTTTCTGTTTTACCTCTTCACTTCACTTGCTACTATTGATTTGGGATGTTAGTTGAAGCAACTTTCCCTTCTTCTGCCACCTCCCACAACAGTGGCCTGCAACCAAAGGCTCACCGATTTCTGCAGTGAAACAAGAACAGATACAGGAACTGGGCAGGAAAATAAAGAAGTGGACCTTACACCAATGTTTCACACATCAGGGAAACTGGGGCCCAGGACAGGAGCATTCTGCAAGTCCTGGATGCAAGTGAGAGGAAGGAAATGAAAAAATTTCCAACTGGCATTAACGTGTGGCAGTTTAATTTAACACTGAAATCTGTGTGCTTTCTTCTTGCTTATTTTGGATCTCAACCAGTCGTGAATGCATATTTGTTCACATTAAATGCAGATATAAAATATGCTGGAGTATAACCTGTAATGATAATAAAAAGTAATAATAAGCTGTTAAAATCACTGTGTAGTTTCCTTCTATTTTCTTTCCCTAGTGATGGTGGCATTTGCTCCATATACATCACCATTCTTTCCCCCTCCTTTTTCCTCCAGAGTTTCCATAGTGTTTTTACAATGAGCTTTTTTCTAGGATACAGTGTTTCTTTTTAACTTTCCTTGCCTGTTCAACTGGCTGTAGCATTTACAAAGGAGCTTTCAGGTCAAATCAGCTGTGTTTTTAAAAGGTTCAGTCCCTTAGGCAGAGGTTAGGGATGCGTTAGTGGCTCCGGTGTGTTTATGAGTCTGTTGCCTCGGTATCCTTATGCGTTCAGGGCTGCATCTAATGGAGCTGTTTTCTTTGGCCATCCTGATCAGTGCTGCCTCCAGCAGTGGCAGAGCAAGTGCTGCTCCAGCCTTCCCACCCTCCACAGGTGTCCAGCTCCAGCCAGTGACCCAGACCTGTGCAGGAGTCACACAGAAATGAAGTGTTCTTCCTCATTTCCTTATTTTAATTCCTTCCCCTTAAAGTTTTTAATGCTATGGTGGCATCTGTGGCTCAGCAAATGCCTGTTTCTTTTTTCATGCAGAATACTACTTCTTGGATGTGGTCACACAGCCATCTTTACACCCTCATCTCGTGCTGTAACTGTGATTAAGCAGCAGAACTCATCAGGACATGGGATGCAGTTCCAAAAGCTTCTTTGAATCCCTTTTGCTCCATGTATATCTGTCCTAGAATGCCTGAGCCAGGGCATGTTTGTTCATGGGTGAAGCAGCTGAGAGCTGATGTCATGATGGCCCAAAGCAAGCTGTGGTCATGGGCTGGGTTTGGAAGGAGCATGCTGCTGGATAGGTGTCTGGAAAAACTGGTGTTTGTGCTTGTCTGGAGGGTGGACAGGCTCTGGCATGGGGGGATCCCCCCAGGTTCACTTTGTGGAAGCAGTGATAGGCAAGAAAGATGATGCTGCAGCATCACCCTTCGTATAAAGGCTGAGGTGTCTCCCATCATGGAGACAAGCAGAGAGTGTTTCTTGAGTGTGAGTTTGAAATGTGGTCACTTCTGAGGTGCAGTGTGGACACTGAGGAGTTCCTTGGCCTTCAGAAAGCTCCCTGAAGCTTCTGGCCACCTGCAAGTGCCTTGGTTTTTCATGTTATAACAAAAAGAGCCCTTTCTGATCACATCCTTTTTTTTGTGAGAGTGAACACGTTGGTAGCCTGGCATCTTCAGCTTTGTGGTGATGGGGATGTGCTCTGAAGGGTCACAAGCATAAATAAGGATTTCTGGCTTATATTCAGTGCTTCAGGACTGCAGTGTCCTTCCTGGTGACAGTCAGTCACTAGGATGGAGCAAAACCATCACCT